TGCAAAGATGGAGGGCGAATCTGCGCATGAGATTAAAGAGGAAGAGATCAAGGCTCTGGCTGGTCTGGAGCTGAATGGTCGACAGATCAAGAACGTACTCAAGACGGCGAATCTTCTGGCTTGTCACAAGGGAGAGAAGTTGGCGTTTACTCATTTGAGGACAGTTTTGAGGGTTGAGGGTCACTCATTGTAAGGTGTTAGGTATTGAAGATTTAGCGGGGTTATTGGAGAACTGTAAATAGATATAACTATTATTGCGCCATGCAAGCAGCCGTTGCCTATCCGTAAGCCACCCGCCGTGACTAATAGTGCAAGCAATAACGACAAAGAACCCCAATTACCTTCGAACAAAAGATATCGCAGACCTTTTCCAAGTCCAAAATACTGTGTTTCCTAGGAAAGCAAAGTGATATTACCAAAGAGTTGTAGTGATACCCCCGCCTGCTCCTATAAGTACTCCTCCATGTCTCTCTTCCACTTAACCCCGTGGATCTCGGTCATAAAATCCTCAACCCACTTCTCGAAAGGCTGACACTTCCAATTCAAGACGCCGTGAACCTCAAGATCCCAATTACGACGACCCGCGTGACGGAGATCAGAGAATAGCATACGCAGTATGCTGGAGAAAGCCTCAATATCCTTTGAGGGGAGATTGCTGCAGTACTTCCTCACTAGACAGTGAGCTACGGGTCCCAGCCTATCGAGAGATCGACTTTGCCTCGGGCTATTTTCTATGAAACCCAGCATGTACTTCCTCGCGCTGGCGTTGGGGATAAAACAAACCCTATCTGCACACGTCTCGCCGTCAGGATGCTCGCGTTGGCAGATCTTGAACTGCATGTCCTTGCCGAGGATAGGACATGGGGGTGCACAGTCATACTCGTCATCTGCATATCGATCGCTATCGTCGTCCCAGGAAGAGTTAGGCGGCCGACTGAAGGCGGCATAGTAGTGTTGGGCGGGCGATGAGTGAGGTGGATAGACGGCATCCCTCTTTTTAATGAGGAGGTTGTGAAGACCGAGTTCCATGTCCTTGTAAAGCTGTGTGCTATAGAACCTGGCTCTCTCATCTGTATTTGCCATCTTGGATGTAAAAGGATTGTGGGTTTCTGTGAGAATAAGTGTTTGTATGAGACGTCGGGTTTGAGAATGTGTAAAGTGTGATGAAATGTGGGAATATTGTGAGTCTTTAAGGACGAGAGTGTCTCGAGAATAATTACTCCTTGACAATAGATGACTTGCATGGTCGGAAGGAAGAGTCCTTTTTATAGAGACTTCAATATATTTTGGTTCGGGTAGACTTCACATTAATATACAGTAACTTCAATATTGGAAGCTTGTTTGTTGAGAAGTTCTTTAGAACCACGAAATATTATCATATAGCACTCTATAGAGTTATATTTAAATGAAACTTAGTAGGAATAGTGTTAGCTAAGAAAGGGTATTTTAAGATATTTTTGGTGTCTTAAGAAATTTATTATGGACTGTTAATATTGCCTCTTTCACATTTTTATCCTTTCACTTAAACCTGTTTATCTATATTGACCCAAATTAGTGTGTCTTTAAGCTATCAAGTTTGACTCAGAAATACCACTATTCACCGCCCATGATTGAATCAGGACAAATTACTACTAAGAATTCACACTGAATAAGAGAACGAGGATCTTCTCAAATGGTGCAGCTATCAAGATGAGACTTTCGCGGGAATGTGAGCGCTGTAAGTCTTTTATTATCTACGAAACATAATATAGTCTCTCGATAAACTAAGTTATAGCATCAGTTGAGCCTCGCCATAGCTTTTAGACTTCAATTATAAAATTCACACAAGGTGTGTAAATCAAAGCAAACAAGCAATATTGAAGCCAGCCTTGTTTGCCGTAACCTTCAAAGTCACCTAAAAACAAAGGTTTGGTGAAATCGAAAGTTCTCATGATATTGATATAGAGGGTATTGCAATTCTCATGATAGTTGATTCAATTGAAGTAACTCAACTATCGAGGCTGACAAACTTGGTCTACCAACCACATTAGGCAATTCACAGCAATATATCGTGCTCAACCCCGCCTCGGCCCGCTATAAGCAGCTGAATTGCGTGAGCATTTCAACTTCTTCATGTAGGGCGTGATAACAAAGGGCGCGGTTTGACATTAGTTCCTCTCCGATCATCATTCACTTTCCAATCTAGACAAAGTCAAGAACCCTAATATCCAACAGCTTATAAATTCGATACGGGATCATAGCTTATAAATCCAACTTCGAACCATCTATAAACGCAGCCCCTACCTGCGAGTATTGGGGGCATTAGCTACACTCAAACTATCAAAATGGCAGAGTTTCAACCCAAGAGTATTCTCATTTTTGGCGCTACCGGTAACATCGGACGATATATCACGAATGCTATCGCCAATGCCCAACCAGCATTCGATCAGGTGGCCATCTTCACCTCAGATGACACAGTTACCAGAAAACCAGAGTTGGTCAAAGAGCTCAAGTCAAAGGCCGTCAAGATTATCACGGGAGATGTCAATAATACTGAAGACGTAAAGAGGGCTTACCAAGGCGTTGATACTGTCATCAGTGCGGTAGGACGCAATGTCATCGAGACACAGATCGAGCTCTTTAAACTCGCAGCTGAGTCTGGTTCAGTGAAGTGGTTTTTCCCTTCAGAATACGGCACAGATATCGAATACGGGCCTCAGAGCGCCAGTGAGAAGCCTCATCAGCTGAAACTCAAGGTGCGAAAGTATATCCGAGAAAACGCCAATGGTCTGAAGTATACCTTTGTCGTTACTGGGCCATATATCGATATGTACTTTACCCTGTCGCCTGATGTTATTGAAGCTGGAGGGTTTGACCATAAGAACAAGAAGGCGATCTTGATTGATAATGGGGAGGGCAAGATTGGCTTTACAACTATGCCTGAGTAAGTTTCATTAAGATCACTCTCCAAGTCTTTCTAGAGCTGTAGCTAATGTTCTCTAGTGTTGGAAAAGCCGTAGTCGCTGCTCTTCATCATCCCGCAGAGTCTTTCAACCGTGCTCTGATCGTCCAATCCTTTGTCGTCAACTCTAAGCAGATTCTCAAGGAGCTTGAGAAGCAGACGGGAGGTGAGCCATGGGAAGTTTCAAGCTACACTCTCGATGAGTTGAGGGAAGCAGAAAAGAAGGGGTGGGCCGCTGGAAATCCTAAGGCTGTTTCATATACCCTTCGGCGAATTTGGTCTGAGGGGGGCACGCTTTATGAGAAGACGGACAACAAGAGGATTGGACTCAAGGAGGAAGATCTAGAAACTCTGGAGGATGCCGTTAAGAGGGAACTTACGACTGGATACTGATCAAAACCATGTAGAGATCCCAAACATATATATTTTGATTGCAAACGCTGAGCCAACTGAGCTCTTCGTATCTGAAGTCCATAGTAAAAACAAGAACAGTCCAGTCTCATCTAGGATTCAAATCTTGGGAAACGCAAAGAATGAAAGCCTAGCTAGGATACAAAACCCCTTCGGTTGAGATGTACAAGAATTCGGATTCACTGAAATTAGCGTTTCTACTTATATTCACATTGTTCATATCTCAGATACCCATTCGATGTCGCATCACACCTCAATCTAAGGCCACCAAAGCCAGTTGATCTCCATGTCAGCAAGAGGGTTGCGAGGAAACCAGTCAGGAAGATATTCGCCCCATCCCCAGTAGTTTCCGGCCCCCATAGGATGATCGGCACACATTCGAATATTCATGACATCAACATCGGGAGGAAGGTCATTGGGATCCCACTCCATGGGTCCAAGACGACCGCATTTCTCCTTGGCCATGGGCCATTGATCGGCTATGGCTACGGTAGCGAGACCAGCCGCGAGAAGGACTTGTGGCTTCATGTTGGCCTCTGGGGTGAGATGTCAGCAAAAATCCGAAGATGGGTGGGAAATGCTTACGTCTTGAGATGTAAATGGTTGTGTTGATATGGTGGTTGGAATTATGGGTAATGAAGAAATAAGGTTAAAATAGAGGGTGAGACTGAGCACCAGAAATGAAAAAAGCTCGGGTATATAGCCTGCCACTTTGCCTATTCCGAAACGTGGCGCTTGTCCAAATGGTTTGGATGCCTAAAAGAAATGGTTGCGCTGACGCAAGCTAAGGAGAGGCACAGCTTCGGCTCTGGGGATGACCTGACACAATGCGATATGAAGGATTATAATGTTGAATTCAGGGAATGAGCCCAGGGACTCGCTTGTAGCAGTCAGATAAGCTAACTCTAGCGACGCAAGCGCTTCTTGATGGCCTGTCATTCTTGGTCTGGCGTATGCAGGCCGCTAATTTGGTCTCGATGCTCCACCTGACAGCTTCAGAGCATGTGGCCTGGAGCAAGATGCAGGAGAACTGTGATATTCCGAAGTGGATATGTGTTCATTGAGAATCAATAAAATCTCATGGAATTGACCAGATTGCAGGGTTTATTGTCCACCAGGCTTGAAAGAGACAAGTTCAGTAAGATACGAGTCATCGTGTGACTGACGACAAGGGTCACCTGCTGCGCCTCGAATCCTTCAGTCTACAATCATCCCCATGACTGGCTGAATTTACTTGATCAAATACCTGGAAACCGTCGAGTTAAAGATAGATCTATTGGTCAAAGTGGATGTCTTTGTCACAGTAGCCAGTCACGGCTTTACAGGCTGATATTGTACCAACAGCCAAGCATTTAACAACAACCTCTTGAATGTCACGTAGGGCTGAAGACCACGACAGGGGTAACGATTCAAGACTATCTGGCTTTTTGATAAATTCGGGAGTTTCCTTTTTCTGTTAAGCTGTATGAGTAGATGACCCGACGCATGAAGCTTATAGCAACGTGTCTAGACTATCCAGAGACTACTCAGGAAACTCATGCAGAAGATCACCTTTACGGTAAGAATTTCAGGTCGTTGTGGGAAAATGACAACTACTAATATCTATATTTAGTGACTGAGAAAACCCAAAGCAGGTTTATAGTTTGTGCTAACTACATGGCTTCTTTCCCCGAGCAAGAAACAGTTGTTGTTCACCACCAATCTCTCTTGGTACTTGAGACGGCGCCGAGGTCAATTTCCACGCCCAATCTTCAAGTCCAGCCGTATCATATGAGCTCTTTACTTCAGTCTCTTGAAACCCCATTCTACTAATCGCTCCCAGCGTTCGATTTTCTGTCTGAGCACTACTGCCCGCAGAACTTACCACCCAGTCAATGATAAGTAAAATTCCTCCCGGTCTCAGCCGTTTTGAGAGCTGCAATATCATGTTATCCGGGTCTTCGATATGATGAAGAGCCATGCACATGACTACCACGTCAAAATCAAAGAATCCTGGCGTGTCGATTTCCGGAGACGGCGTCAACTCGGGATCGATAAGATCGGCCTGAATAGCTCGCATTTTCGTCGAGGTATAGCCTGCTTTCAGTGCCATTTTGTTATACTGCTCTACCATTCCTGATGCTATATCCATGCCTCTCACTGTAGACATGAACGGTGCGAGTGCCTCGTAAAAATCAGTATTGAGTTCAACAGTTAACGTCGTTAGGTCTTACCCGAGACGCGACGCCATCACCGCAGGCGTAATCTAACAGTTTTGTCGGTCTTGAAGATGGTGGCTTGATACCAATCCAGTCTATGTTCGCTCGTAGCTCCTTTGATATTTGATTACACAGCTCAATAATCCAAGGCCATCGAAATAGTGCTGGGGGAGCATTACTGGCATAAGTTAGTCTTTGTGAGAAGCATACTAAGGAAAGGTCCATACTTGTAATGAGCCTTGTTATGTTCCCCCATTGACCTCGGGACTTCGTGAGATGGACCACGGTGATGATGATGAGTATGGTACTGCAGATGGTGGTGATGATGATGGCAATGGGGTACATCCTCCACAGGTTCCTGCTCCATTTTGACAAGAGGTTTAATAACGGAATTGCCAAGGTATATAGTATATTCAATTCAAGTTTCACGATGTTCAAAACAGTCGAAGATGAGGTTTGCGAACAAAAAGCTAGGTATCTTGGTCTAGCGACACCAAAAGGGTTGGTAGGTGAGAACCCTGATGGACTCTTACATCAGTCTGTCAGAAGCCACACAACAGATGAATTCGTATCACAAGAAGCGAGCTTGAGGATGCGTCACAGTTTCAAATTGACTCAATATTGATGTTTTTCTTTTTCCCCATAAACCTACGTGCTCATGACTGTTCTGTTTATTGCTACAGACAGGTCTCAGAAGCGCAATAATCTGCATCACTGCTTCGATGAAAACCAATGTAGTTAACGGGTATTGCTTCAACTTAAATTATAGATGAAATGCCTTTGATACAACTGAGATACTGTTTGACGGGCCCCTTGGCTTCAGGCCAGTTATCAGCTGTTCGCACTTCGATCATATCCAGCTCGCCTTCGCCGTTAATCGCCAAAAGTTCCGCTGATATTGGGAACTCAAAATATGATTTCATGGTACGGATGAGCAATCGGAACGGGACATGAATCACACTTCTGTAATCGACTGGAGCCTGCTTTTCTCCCTAGGGAAGGCTATCGAGGCTTGCCGAAATCCTAACAAAAACAGAACAATCGATCCAGTCTTCCTGTTGCTGTACCTAATATCAAATATGGAGGGCTCCAGGGTATCCAATCAAGATATGGATAAAGGTGATTGTATGCCGGGAGGGGTATGGCATGATAAGCTCCAACTCCTTATCAGACTTACTACCCCAATTTTCCCAAAACGATCGTTTTCTACCCCAACTGTCATCCCTCAATCATGATTAACTTCCCCAATGTTACATGGGGTTCAGCGATCAGCAACGTCATATTGTAACAAGACAAAATGAACGGGGGGAGGTATCACGTGTATTGGGGAGATAATGAACACAAATTGAATCATGACTTGAACACGAGTGTTGACCTATCTTGCAGTCGAATCATTTTTCATTCTATCAGATATCCTGCATCATGACTGGTTTAGCGCAAAGATATGAGATCAATGCCGATATGGGAGAAGGCTTCGGCCGATGGAAAATGGTAAGATTTCTCGCATGCTGTGTTTTGTTTCTAAGTTAATCAAGATTCAATAGGGCCCAGATGAGGAACTTATGCCTTTGATAGATGCAGCAAATATTGCATGTGGCTTCCACGCTGGTGATCCATCCATCATGCTAAAGACAATTCGTCTCTGCAAGCAACATGGTGTCAAAGCTGGTGCTCATCCCGGCTTACAAGACCTCTTTGGCTTTGGACGCCGAAAAATGGAAATCGACCCCAAGGACATGTATGCGATGGTCTTGTATCAGGTTGGGGCTCTCAAGGCTATGTTGGACGCCGAAGGTGTTGAGTTGTCTCACATAAAACCTCACGGAGAACTCTTCTTCTACATGCAAAGAGACAAGGGGATAATGAGAGCTGTACTAGAAGCTTGTGCAACTTTCAAAGTGCCGGTATACGCCTGCCAGAACCCGGAACAGGAGGCCATGTGTAACGAGATGGGCGTTCCGTTTCAAGGAGAGGTCTATGTTGATATAGACTACTCGCCAGAGGGAAGACTTGTCCCTTTTGCGCAATCTCACCCTGTAACACCGGAGTTGTGTCATGAGCGGGCGTTTGGTGCCGCCATGAAGGACACAGGGAAGGACATTAATGGAGATCCATTCAACTTTGGATTCAAGGGGAAGCCGTTCAGCATCTGTCTGCATTCTGATTCGCTGACTGTGTTGGAAAATGCGAAGCTGGTTCGACAGGCAGTGGATGAAGCGAACCGAAAGAAGTTTTCTTCACAGAACACCAATGGTCATAGATTGTAGACATTATCTCAAGAGGATTGGTACAGAAGGAAACACGGTTATCATAGAAATTGAAAGCCATGTGACAAATTCAGCTCACATGATTTTGAAGGCCTGATAACGTCCAGTATTTACTTTTGAAATGCTACCAATCTACTGTCGGGACTTGAATCTTTACTGTGTTTAAGCAACAGATCGGGCGACGTACCGACAACATGGCAGTCTGACACACCTCCAAGTGAGAGCTTGACTCGTTCCTCGCTAAGAATGTTAACAAGATGGCCAGAAGTCCAGACCACTCAATTTGTCCTCAAAGAATGCCGGTCCTGGTCACACATGACGAGCTATCAATGCGGGGATGGTAGCTTAGCTCCTAGCTCCCCTTGTCCCTCATATCAAGGGTCGCGCGATAAGAGTCGAAAGGTTGGGGTAGAAATAGGATGTCTAGATTACCTATCGCAAGCGACTTCTCCTAGTAAGTGATAATAAGGTAGTATAAATCATATAGATGTCTCGATGATCTGCATTGCTGTTATGCTTTAAGACAAGGTGCAGTCTTTAAGTACTTTTCTTTCTCAAAATCCACAGAATTCTCATTGCTGTCCCATTGTCTTATTGATATTTACTTCGTAATCAAATACCGGTGCAATGACTTCTGGAGTCGCCATTCCTGGAACTGTCCAGCTCGTCGATGTCCAAGGCATCTTCAACGTGAAGCATGGCCAGCAATCACGCGACATCGTCCTCGTTCCACAGCCCACTGACGACCCCGATGATCCTCTTCGCTGGAGTATCCCTCGAAAGACAAGGAATATCATCTGCGCCATGGTATGGTGCTTCTTCGTGGCTGCTATGATTTCTGGTCTGTCACCAGCCTATATCCTGATCGAGGAAGACACTGGTATTTCGATCGCAGATCTGAGTACCGGCAATGGAATTCTGTTTCTTTTCCTTGGTTGGGGGACGATGATTACCCAATGCGTTGCTCTTGCATATGGCCGACGCCTTACTCTTATTGTTTCTGTCATTCTCACCACTGGAATCACTCTTTGGACTGCGTTTATTAAGTCAAGAGGAGAGTTCTTCACAAACCGAGTTCTGCTTGGTATCTGTGCTTCGCCCCAAGAGACTCTCATCGAGGTCATTATTGGAGACATCTTCTTCGCGCATGATCGAGGCTTCTACATGGGTGCCTATAGCTGGACTTTATGGTGCGGCGCGTTCCTTGCACCCGTCGCATCTGGCTATGTTGCCCAGGAGCTCGGCTGGCGATGGATCCAGTATATCCTCGCCATAATCGGAGGAAGCGTCGCTATCATCACCTTTTTCCTGTTTGAGGAGACCATGTTCTACCGCCATCACGACGTCGGAAACCTGTCTGATACAGCTGCGCTCGACCCAGCTACCATCAAAGCCTCTGCGACAGTCGGAAAAGATATCGAGACTCCATCAGAGAAGCAAAACCCTTCTGTCCAAGACGAGAAGTCCACATCAAGATCTATGGAGGCAACGGCGTATACATCAGGTGAGAGCGAAAAGACCTATATGGGGAAGCTCAAGGTCTGGGGTTATCGCGACTCGCGACAGCCTAGCACCTTCAAGCTCTTCTTCCTCCCCATCCGTCTGCTCTTTTCATTCCCCGGTATTGGCTTTGGTGGTCTTCTTGTGGGTGGGATTCTCGCCTGGTACAACGTTGTTGGAGGTTCTCTGGCTCTGATCCTGGGCAATCCTCCTTACAACTTCAGCGCCAACAACATTGGACTCACGTACCTTGCTTCTGTTGTCGGTGTCACTGTCGGATGCTTCCTTTCTGGTTGGATGTCAGATGCTCTGGCCTTGTTCCTTGCCCGTCGAAATGGAGGTGTCATGGAACCTGAGCAGCGTCTCTGGACTTGTCTGGTCGCGCTTGTCATGCATCCGGCGGGCTGTCTGTTGTATGGTGTTGGCGCTTCGTATCATATCCACTGGTTTGGAGTTGTCTTTGGCCTCGGGTTGATCTGCGTAACTCTTCCCATGGGCTCTAATCTCGCTTTTACTTATATCCTTGACACTTACAAAGAGGTCGCTGGCGAAGGTCTTGTATCGACCATCTTGATTCGTAACATGATGGGTATGTACACAGTTCAATCGCCATATCTTCACTACTAACACTACCCAGGTTTCGCGTTTGGGTACGCTGTGGTTCCAATGATAGAGAACCTTGGACTTCGCAATGCTTTCATCCTCATAGCTGTGTTGGGAGAGGCTGTCTGGTGCACTGCGATCATGATGATATATGTTGGCAAGCCTCTGAGAAGATGGACCGCGCATTCTTATTGGAATCTCATTGAGCATTACGGCGCGACTGCTCATTGATCTTGTCCCTCAGGTATTAAGCTTCAGTAGTAGAAAAGCAGAGACTTGGTGTCATCCTGCCCAGCAGTCTATTTCTTTCTAGATAGTTTGAACCAAATCATTGCATCTTCAATTGAGCATCGTCACATCGCGATCGCAATTGTTAAGCTTGAAGCCTGATACATCGTCTCAGCGATTACTGAAGTCCCGTAAATACTGGCATTATCCGTCCTCTCCATTTGGTCTCCCATAGTTACTTGGCTGTGTACGTGGCAGTACGGATTTCAGTATCCTTCAGCTCCAAAAATTTAGCCTGTTACCAAATGTTTCCGAAATAGCCTCTATAGGTCATCACAATACTTTTACATCCATATCTCCTGTGGCCTCAATGAGCTCACTGACATGGAGATCCTGTTACACCTCCCAATTTCTACCCCGATGGCTTGCCTTATTAGGAACACAAATCCCGTGTGCCCGAATTCTTGCCTCTTTTGATCACCCCGCCTTGGGGTAGATAAGCTATCGAGATAGTGCATCCTAACCTGGAGGTGGAGAGGCTATCCCCAGTTTTGATAACACCTCCAAGCTGCTGTTCATCAACTCATACGTTCGTTCCATGTTCTTGACCAGTTCATAATGAGTCCAATTTTTCGGAAATTTACCCAAAAGCTACCTTTCTTCTCACATCTGTCTTCTCATACGTTGTTCTTTTAGCAACTCCAATTCGCCACAGTTACAGTCATGGGTTCACTTGACTTACATCCACTACAGCACATTCGCAAGGTGT